AGGAATGATCACTGTCATACCAAATCGAAAAGTGAAGATTGGGTTCTACTGCATAGAGGGAGTCAACTGTTCTAGGATGGTCACGTGTGTGTTGCACTCCTATTGCAGCTATACTAAGTGGAAGTTATGATGACTTGATGAGTATAATGGCAAGTAACGGGCTAAAGTTTTGCGCGTATACGATGTATTTTGAGGAAAACTGTTTTGTGAGTGTATTAGTATATCGTATAGAAAATCAACATGTAATCAGATGTATAGTTCTCACTCTAGTAACAATGAAAACCTTAAAATTAATATTTCATCAAATTTTCATATTGAACTTTTTACAGTTGTACTCGTGTATCTAGCTTAGTCGTGAAAAGGACGGAGTGACATTATAATGTGTCTCACCAAAGGTGTTACTAGTGGCAGGTAGTATTATTAAGGTACTATAAGCAGACCAAGGACAGTGTTTCTATGATTTCATAGGATGATAAAGTTATCAACATGCATTGAGATCTTAACTTATGTTTACTTTTATCATATTTCAGTTTTCACTTCTATATTTAATTATGGATCCTAAAAGTTATTTGAACGAGATAATTAATATAACTGATTATTAGCTGCACCATATCGGCTATAGAATGGCTTTGAGTTTTTTCGTTTTTTTTAAAGTACATCCTTTTAGCTCATAGCTCTATCATTTCTTGACCGATTGGAGATCTAATTACAGTTTTAGACACAGAAGCTCAAACCCTTAGAATTATTTTATTCGAGTACGTCCAAGGTCTCATAGATTAATTTATTATTATCCTTCCTTAAAATATTTAAAGTTGCTGGTAAATATTCTGATAAGTAATAAAATCGAATCGGGTATACGCGCGACCCACACTTGGTATTACTGGCGCACAAATGTATAGCTAATAAAAAGGGGGAAAAAAAGGTCTCCTAGAGTAATTGACTTTAATCCTACCTGAAAGAATTTCGAGTACCTTGTCTATTGAAGATTCTCTCTTGTATTTTATTTCAATTATTGACTTGATGTGTCAAAAAGGTTTGGAATACATTATTTTAAACCTATACTTTAGGAAGCACCCACTTAATTTGCGATCAAGTTACCTGTTTGAAACCGCTATTTGTGGTGCAATTTGAGTGAAACACAAATTAAACGTAAAACTAAACCGGGATATAACATTAAAAGTTTTCTACCAAAAGTTATATAATGTTACGTCTCTGGTCGTTGGTTAATTTCCCGTATAATGTCTTTCCGATGAAACTTTAGCGACACAAGTCCTTTCTTAAATAAAATTAGTTTGTTCTTTCTCAATACAACTTTGAAATTCACTTTATTTCAACGGTCACACTATAAGTTAAACAAACGCTATAATTCACAACGAACGACACACGCGCTCGACCCAACAATACGTCTCTATCTCTGTCTGCAGTTCAATTGCATTCCATCGTTGCCGTCACTTCTTGGCGGCTTATATGCAAGAATACCGCATATCTAGTATCCTCTCGAGGCTTCAAGAAGGGACATGAACGTTCTAGAAGCGCATGACGTGTTACTAGGGTCATGTGACCTCCGCTGTCGTAACAATAACAATGAAAAACACAACAATGGCACTGTGCATATAAATAGAGTATTCAAGACTACAAACGTTTCTATATCGGAAAACAGGTAAGAAAATAACGACTAGATATAAAGAACATTAAAACTAAAATAATAAACATAAGTTGGCATATGATTGAAAAACAACACGAGATAAAGTAATTACTATAGAGCAGTGTTTCTCAAACTTTCTGAAACGGTGGACCGGGCTACGAATCTTTTGATCACCCCAAGGACCAGTGATGAAAACCAAATATATTGTTCACTTCTTTTTGATAAGTAATGCGTAATTATTCTATTATATGATTTTTAAAAAATATATACGTACATACATCATTATGAAAGGATTGCTTTAATAAATGTAGAATTTACGTCAATATAAGAATCATTAGATTGTCGTTAGCGTGAAAAGAGAGTTTATTTTTTATTTGTCAATTTATCAAGTCTTGGTTCGATGGAAGACAGTGCAACACGCAATGGGGCTCGAATGTCCAAATGGTTTCTGTACTTAGTCTTTATGACACTCATTGTTGAGAAGGCAGTCTCACACAGATATGTTGATGGAAATTGGAGAAGTATTTTGATAGCAATTCCAGCCAGTTCAGGATACTCCGCTCTAGCTTTGATCCAAAAGCACGCCAAGGATTCTGCAGATTCGAAAAGGATTTTCATGCTACCGTCAGCAGCAAGCTCCAGCAATCGATCCTCCAATGCAACCGACAGTTGGTGTTCCGATGTTAAAAAAGGGTTTCTGATCCATCCATTACGTTTTCGAGGGTCTTCCTCTGACGGAAAGTACATCTCAAAGTGCTCCAGTAGAGCCGTCAAATGCTCACTGATCTTGGCTCTCAATACAGACATCTCAAGTCCCGAGTCTGTTTCAGTTATTGTTGCTGACAGTTTGTGAAACATATCAAAGCAATCTTTCGACACACGAGATTTCCACACATCCAGCTTGCGTTTCATTCCATCAATCTTGTCTGCTATCGTGAAGCACGAAGCCATTTTTCCCTGCATGGAGACGTTGAAGGTATTCAAGATGTCAAAAATATCCGCCATGTACGCCAGCTTAGCAACCCATTCAGAATTTCGGAATAGTTCTGACCAATGTGGTTTCTTGAACTGGAGGAAGTGGGCGAGCTCATGTCGTAGTTCAAATACTCGAGAGAGAACTTTACCTCTGGACAACCAGTGTATATCAGCATGCAGTATGAGTTGTGTGTGCTCAGCACCCGCATCTTCACATAATGCTGCAAATAACCTTGAATTCAGTGCGTTGGCCTTCACATGATTCACAATGTTCACAACCTCACTCAGAATTGAGTTTAATTCGGGTGACATTTTCTTAATGGCTAGATTTTCTCTGTGAATTATACAGTGTGTTGATTTACAATCCGGGGCCACTGCTTTAATCTGGGCTATCACGCCGGAATGACGTCCTGTCATCGCCGCAGTTCCATCTGAACAGACGCCGACACAATTTTGGAAATTCAAATCGAATTTTCGAACTATGTGGTCGCTCAAACTCCTGAACAATTCTGTACTAGTTGTGCTAGTTGGTAACGAATCAGAAAAAAGTACTCCTCCTTCAAATCTCCTTTGTATTCGTAACGCACAAAAACCATAAGAATTGCCTTATTTGCAATATCAGTACTTTCATCGAGCTGTAACGAATAATACTTTGACGATTTAACTTGTGTTATGAGCTGATCTTCCATATCTTCTGCCAAATCGTGGATGCGACGTGCAATAGTGTCGTTTGACATTGGAACTTGGGATACTTTCTGTGCCACTGCCTCGCCCAGCATTTCTTGACATACGTCTTTAATACAACCTATCACGAGTGTCTCCCCAACTGTAAACGGCTTCTTTGCCTTGCCAATACGAAGAGCAACCTTATATAAAGCGCGCAGCGCACAAGCAGCTACGCGTGTCAAATTGAGCAGTTGTTTCTGGGATATTTTCAAATTATCATACTTCCTTTCAAAGAACTCTTGCGGTTTTGAAACCAATTCGCTATGTTTGGCATTTTGATGCCTCTTCAATTTCGAGGGTTTCATGGCGTCATTGCTCAAGATTTCACCACAAATCACACACTGTGGTTTTTCCACTCCATTTTCATCCATGGCACAAAATCCAGACTGAATGTATGAGCAGTCATATTTTCGAGTGTAGCTAATTCGGTTCC